CCAAGTAAGTGAAACTGTCTACTCACTGAGCCATTTCACCTCATATACTTAGACGAAGAGTTGATTCAGCCGCATTCCCTAGCATCTTCTTACGTGTGACTACTACAAATGCGATTAGCGGATTGACTAGTCACCCATAACTTAACAATCTTCAATTCGACTCTGTTAGGGGTGATGGGTATACACTCCTACTGACGAGTCACAAAATAGGACAAAACAGCTGTCTAGCCCTTCATGATTTTCAATGCTTCTCTAAATGATGTTCGTTTATCACGAAAACTGAATGAAATTAATCAAAAATCTTATGTACAGTAAGCTTAATTCATATAGTTTGCAACATGCCTATGTATAATTATTCAGCATGCAGTAGAATAACAGATGAAAAGGAAGAAGGAGAAATATCAAACATTATTGGAATTCTCAAGAAAAATAACAATCCAAAGAATCAACGTCAACATTAGGAACTGTCGAAAAAGTATCCGAAATACATAGACCTCAAAGGTTGTCATTCTATATAGATCAGAAACGTAGGATGACATCACAAGAGCACTCAATAAACACAACATCAAATTTTTATTCAGAACATCGGACACACTGCAAAGCAGCCTTGTTTACTCCAAAGGATTCACAATCTAATTGTGTCTATAAAATAAAATGCTTCAAATGGGACGTGATATAAATCGGACGAACCCCTAGAGAAATCACGGTAGAGAGTTTGTTCGATCACAAAGAAAGCCAGGAGGACTAGAAAAGCTTTAAAAAAATCAGCGGTAGATCTACACACTATAGATTCAGGCAACAGAATTGATTTTGACAAAATTTAAATCGTCTAGAAAAATTTTGGATATCACAAAGAATGTCTAATATTAGAAGAACTTCATATCAAATGGAATCCAAATTGCCTGAATCAATAGGAATGATGAGCTAAGACAGAATATGACCTGGTTGCAGCCTTCCACACGTACCCATTAAGTAACGCAATCAACACAAACGTGATAAGCAGTCTGATTATGTAAACACGTGTCGTTTTTTTAATTTCATATACTTATCAAATCTAACAATCTGCGCATCATTTTGTCATCTTTACCAATTGCTTCAACTAAACAACGTAAAGATTACATCATACTGAAGAACGATGATTACGTTTGATATATGTAAGCTGAGATTTTGTAAACTCTGGTTTAGTAATACTTTGATAAAGCTATTACCATTAAATAATGAACTTTCAATAAAAGCAAACTGAGACGAAACACCTGTCCAGTACTCCCAGCTGGTTTTCCAATGGTTTTCTAACCGATATCAGCTCATAATGAAGTCCTAAAGTCAATCGAATATCAGCAAACCAACACTTGGAAAGCAATATCGTTTTATTTTCATCCATTGGGAAACACAGGGACTTTAACAGTAATGAATGTTATATGCTCAGTACTTAGATGTCTTAAAACTCTTAAAAGTGAACTTGGTTTGGGCATATATATATACATAACTTGTCAACTTGGAGAGAATAAAAGATAAATTAGATGCAGAACTCTGCACGCCAAAATAACCTGGATTCAGGAAAGGAAAATAATGTACAGATCAATTCGCGACGCCACGCATCATCACCAAACATAGCATAGAATGGCAGTTAAACCTCTATCTCAGCTTTCGCAAGCGCTGAATGAGAAGTAATTTGGAAACTGCTTCAAAACTGTGTAGTGTCCTAAGTCTTTATCAACCTCATACTACATGTATATGACAATGCCATATGTCAGGTGGTCCACAGCGGAAAACCCAGCGAAGTGTTTGAGGTGAAAACATTTGTAAAACAAAGCTGCCTACTATCATCACCCGTGATATTCCTAATTCTGTCGGACTAGATTATATGGAGGACTATGGGGAGTGAGAGGACAGGTGAACATGAAGAAGACGGAGGTGACGAAAGTAACCAACTAACCAACCAGACAGCACCAAGAACCAGCACCAATAGCTACCAAAGGAATAAGTCTTTCACTTATCTAGGAAACACGGTTTGAACTACAGATGTAATGGAGGAATAGGAAAGGCAAGGCATAACTTCGTCACTCTGGAATCAATTGATAAACCTAATGCACCCACAACAGTACTCGAATGTCCAATAGCAAGGTTAAGTCACATCTTCTATATGGGTCAGAATCGTGGGATCTGTGTCACGAAGATCATTTCCAATGGGCTGCCGCAGACTTTTATCAACAGCCTTCTTTACTTGCCTCATACTGAAGATTAGCACTAAGAAACTACGAGAAAATACCGACCAAGACAATATTGCTCAACAGGCATCCTGAAGAAAGTGGAGATGGATTGGGCACACTCTTAGGATACCATGGAAAGACATTACTTGACTGGAACCCAAATGGAAAACGATGAATGAAGCACTCGAGGGTGACATGGAGAAGATCGTACAACGCTTAATGAATCAAAACTTCATGAAAAACAGTTGTCTCTTTCACTGCAACTGCTTTCCGTTTCTCGCATAGTTTTTTTCATGTACCACTAGATAAAACTACTACGGTAATGCATTGCAGTTAGCAGGTCGCTAGTGTATTTTAATTAATTTACTAAGAAACTAGTTAAACAGATCCTACTCACTGCATCTGACTGAAGTGATTTTGCAACAAAGAGGTATGCAACTAACGGAATATATATACCGTCCAAGCTATAGATTCAATGTTTCTGCAAACATCTTTTCTCAACAAATCTTCTCTTTATGCGACTTATAGAAAATCAGGTGAATGTGATGTTTTTGATGATTTTTTTAAAGTGACAGTAAGTAACGGGTACACATTTATGAATATACTGGTGTCGAGAATTATACATCATTTTCTGTTTGTAGCAAACTTCCTTACACGTGTTACACATACCCAACCACCGCCTTCCTTGACGACCAGAGTGAGCCAACCTATGACTGCGATGATAAAAAGTTGAGGGTGGTTGGACCGAACTTTGCCTAGTTTTCTAGTTGGTAGTATACCTAGAAAAAAGGAGGAAAGTCTGGCTTGGAGCATAGTTAATCTACCCCAGGGAAACTGAACCAGTTGCTACAAAAACTTGAAAGCAGGGAGAAATATTTATAAGCATATTTTTGGCCTGTATTGTAGAAACGAAATGACACTGGCCGTTGAAAGTTTCCGGGAAGCCGATCAGCTGGTATATCATCCTTCGATGAAAGAAGAAACAAGTATGGGGGCACAGAATTTCCGAGAGATGTTTGAAGCTAAGGAGAGGATCAATCTTCTATTGTAAGTTCGAGCGAAGAATTCTTGACTGGAGTCCTCAGGAGGCTATGAATCAGTGGTTGGACAATGATGGTGACATGGCTCAAAATATTTGTGAATGTTTCAGATAAGTTAATTCCTTGTCATTATCCACATCAATAAAATCATTATCTTGATCTAATTATTCTCAAACTCATATCCATTCCTACTTTATTCTCCATTTTAATGTTTGCATCTTTGACATTTGACAACTTGAACTGGTATACTCTTATGCTCAGTCGTACATTGAAATGTAAGACATTGAGTGGGTTTAGATTTTACCAATCAAACAAAGTAGAAAAACCCTTTTTATCTCAAAATCATACTTATCAGAACACTGAACGCAACTTATAGTACTTATGATGCCAGTATTACTTACTGTTTCACTGTGTGATACATCTAATAAACAAACTAATATGGAATTCTAAGTAATATTTCATCGGATGCCAACCAGCATGAATTAGAGAGTCACTAAACAATAAACAGAGTACTGTACGGCTGTTATGTTCTATTTTTTCTAAACTTCTCAGAGGTAAGCGCACCAAAAGACCCTATCAATAAAGACCAAACTTAATGTCATTTCGTTACTTAGTAAGCATTCATTTAACCTTTTAAATTCGTTAAACAGTTATATTGCAGATGCCTAGTTGATCAAATAACTCACTTTTAAATAGTTCTGAATCAATGAATTCCAAAAAAAAAATTTTGAGAGGAAAACAATTTGTCTATTACCTATTAGTTAACTAGTTGATGGAAATAATGTAAGAAGGAAATCTTTTGATCATCCTTTATGTGTATTCACGTGCATGTGTCAGTAACCTATTGAAAAGTAATGATAAAGAACGCAGTGTAATGGAGATGTGTCACTCAAGTCCTTTGTAGCACTAGGAAAGCAGTGAATTAAAATTATTATTAATCTACAGTCGTATATATATATATATATGATTTTTCAGTATAACAAAACGTATTGTTAAATATATAGAATAGATCATGGAATGCATAAATCTTTAGGAGTGTAGAAGTAATAAGATTCATGGGTAAATAAAACACTATTTAACAAGATGAGGATAAGATTGCAAAAGCTGTATTGAATTAAAACACTAAAGGGTGACAAGTGAATGATAACAGTATCAACAGAAATTATAAGTGATAGATATATAGAGACCAGTTACACAAAACGAAAAATAAATAAGGCCAACGTAGAAACAAGGACTGTATCACGATCAGACGGCAAGAGGGAGTGACTGGACGAACTTCTTCTGTTCGCCTTCTCCTTTTCAACTTAATGTTTTACTATCACTCAGTCTTTAAGTGCGGTTATAATCACAAATCTTTTGTCGCAGTTAACAATACTATTTTAAAAGCCATCATATATAAAGTTTGATTAAAAATTGAATTATAAAATAATCTCATCGTTGAATCACTTGTTTCCATTTTTCTACATAACCTCTCTCTCGGCTAACTAGTCTAACAAAAATATTTAAAAAGTAGCTCACGTTTAACTACTGTTTAAGTATATGTATATGCATATATTAATAACTTTCTGTAAAATTAAATGAGAAAATATAAGTTTCAGAAAGGAATGCAGTCATTATATATATATATATATATCTTAAAGACAGTAAAGCTGATAAATATGAATAACAAAGAATGTTTAAACAATATTACATATATAACTGTATGTAAATAAATAAATAAATATATTTATTTATTTATATATACGCGGAATGTATATTATAGTTAAAATACTTTTTGCATTCACTTGTTTGTTTATTTGTTTTACCGATGTGCAATTCGAGTTTCTCTGATTATTCTTGTACTTGTTGTATTGCTGCGTGCAGTGATACATTTCGATGTCACAATTGATTGTATTGCAACTTGAGTTGCTAATACAGCCCCAGTAACCGCTAAAAAGTATGACCAATGATATCCAATTAAAGATGTATATACTAGAACACCGATTAATAATGCAGCAGATCCCAGATATAAGATAATAAAGCGTATAGTTGTATAAGCAGCACGTGAGGCGAATACCTCAGAGCAAAATGCAACAGAATCTAATATAATTATGATTAGTAGACAAACAATGCCTAATATTATTAATCCAGCAACAGCTGCTGCTGTATCTTTATACGATGTACGTTGACAGGAGGAGAACAGATTCCCACAATCCCACGAACTTGTAATCAATGCTGCAATTGCTAGACCTACTGCCAGGCATGAAAGGCCAACACTCAAACGACGCATTTCAATAATCATGTTTGGTTATTACTTTTTTCTTTTCTTCGTGATGTTTTCTTCTGATGAGTTAACTCTGTTTGCAGATATAGTTAGATAATTCCACGTATTTTAATCTGTTCATTGAATAAACACAAATGTATAGGTATATATAGGTATGTATGAATCAATGTGTGAGTGTTATTTGATAATCACACTAACTGAATCAAAGCCTAAACCTATAGGTGCATTACTGGTTCCCACTTAAGAACACAATTAGTTTGAGAAGTGGATTCCGATTGGTCTATTCACATGTTGCACACAAACGCACACATACACACACACACCAGAGATTTCTGTCGGCAATGTGTGATTTAAGCTAAGAAAATATAAAATGAAGTTAGACTGGGCGAGGGAGGGTGAGAGAGACATTACATGAATATAAATACTTTTTATAATAGTAATTAATTGATTATATTATTATTATACCACCATCGTATATTTAATCGTTTTGTTTAAACACATAATTACAGTTGAAACTAACCAGTTTCATTTTTTTTAAAGATGAGCTCATTTGCTGATACTCAAGCTCGTGAGACACTTTGGAATTACACAAATAAATTGAGAAATATGAATTAGAGTTAGTAAATAGATATCTGTCAAATAGATGAACAAAAAAGAGCTGATCGTTTGCATATCAACTGATTAAACTTTAAATTAATAATCTTACTGTTATTATTTAAACTTGTATACGGTGTGTTTTGTAATTCATTGAGTAGAATATAAAATAAAGTGAATTAAACAATGGGTATTACACTACAGATAATGACTCAATCTTTTCAGGTATATATATGTTTATATTCATGTAGAATATATAAGAATCCAGCTCAAAATTTTTAAATATATGCGTAGAAAATCATGTCAAAATCACTTAAATAATCCAATTACCTCAGAAATAAGATATAAGGAGAAAATGTTAAATATTTGTGAGATTCGATATCGATTGAGACATTTTGAATCTCAAGGTCATAAGACGGCATATACAGAAATCTGATTGGCAGTAATTCTTCCAATATATAATCTCCCTTATTTTTTATACAGACGTTTGATTGCATAAGCCCAGGGAGAATAAATATGGAAAGTTACTAAATAAAAAAGATTCCACTAATATCGCTACATGTTATTCACGTATATTTTGATGCATGAATAAAAAATCGATTTAGTTCATTTTGAATATTACGAAAAGTACTAATTTTATTATTTCAAAATTTCATTAAAGCACCATTTATTTATAGTGCTTTTAAAAGTCATAATTACAAGCCTATTTGAAGTATATTTCAGTCGAACTTTTACTTCGAAATATAAACGAAAATGAGTTAAATAATACCTGAAGTTAGAATTTGATTGGATGAATGTGCCTATTCTATCCCAGGATGACAAAAACGTGACTACAGTGGAGAAATATTTTTTTCTTTTGCAACTGAAATCACTTACAAACTACTGAAAATCAAAGAATAGTGGATAGTTGTCTACTTCAAATTCGGAACTTTTCAGCAGTAAGCGCTTATTACCACACGGGAGATCTAATCCAGAATCTACAGGTTACAGTGATAGCCATCTGACCATTTAACCGCCGGGGCCGAACCGATTGGTTAATGAATTTTAACTCGTGCTGTTTCGTGATATATAGCACAAGAAAGGTTCTGGTCAGGAGCCAGAACATATTGTGTAACATGGTACAAAGAGAGGTTGTAGCCAGAAGAGATTTCAGAAACATAGATTTCAGAAACTGACTACAGTTAAACAATAATCATTACAACTGCCGTGACAAGGACAAAAGTTGGATTTATATATTTGGACACAGAGTCATAGCCTGAATTTCTGGATTACTAATGCCTCAGTTATATCCAATGTGTCCTGATTTCACACCCTTTTGAAAGATTTCTTAGAATCTGGCTTAGGATTTATAAGAGATACTCCAGTGCAATCGAGACCATTAAGTTTTTAAAGTGTTTTGTCATCAAACTGTAGGCTATACTGTGAAATTCTCCTCAAGAAAAGTTTGAAATAAAAGGAATGATGCATTCAAGGTACCCATTTTTACATAGTCAATTTATGGTAAGTATATATATATATATCACCATTGATTTTGAAAAGATAAGTGATAACAAATCGAATGCGTTGAAGTGAATTCACTGATGAAGTTGAACTATAGGACCCCAAAAGGATGAGGGCACCAGTACCATGAAAAGGTTAGTCAGAGTAAAGCAATAAAACTAGGTGAAAAGTACTCTTGTTGTTTTGCTTAGGGAAGTGTACGAATATTGAATTGGATACCTGTATTTATAATGTCATGAGATTCGCTGTACTGTCATTTGGAAGTACGTCTTTTCATGAAGTTTTCAATCGACCCACTATGGTCACCAATAATAAGCCTATCATCCACATAACATTTATACAGCATAAAGCTTCCTAGCATACCTTCCATTTCTTTCTCCAATTTAGACATAAACACATCTGCTAACAGGGAGAACTCCAAGAGAACTCCCCACTGCAACAACATCGGTTTGTTTGCATGCTTTTTCTTGGAAAACCAATCTGATATTTCTGTGCATGTCAAAATAATATCTCTAGTGTAAGTGACAGGTGTAGGTAATCGCTTGTTACTCCATTGTTTGTGAAATAATCGCAAGTGAAATCAACGGCCTCATGAAGTGGAACATTGGTGAACAAAGATCCCATGTAGATTGAGCACATAAGGTTTTTCCGTTGTAGAGTTAGGAATGTTGAAAAGGTCGAATGGATTTTTTTATGGAATGATTTGATGAGGAGTCTCTTACGGGAGTAAGAAACTCCGTAATGTGTTTAGTGATTTTATGGTATGAAGAATTCGACACATTCCAGATAGCACCTAGTGGGTTTCCAGGTTTGTGAACCTTCGGAAGGCCATACAGCTGGGGGGAGTTGCGATTGGATAGACTCAAGTTGTTTATAACGTGTCTCACCTATGAAATCATCCGTCAATAAAATCTGAAACCGATGATTAGTCGGTTTTTCCACAAATATCTTCTGCATCACTGTCTATTAGATATTTGGACTGATCTTTGATAATTTTCATTTATTTTATTTTGAGAATCAAATTTATTCACGTTGACGACTCCTCCTTTTTCAGGTTTTAAGGTAATAAAACTCTCTTTCTCAGTTAATTCCTTCAGAGATGTGTAGTGTTATTTCGATAAGGCACTTCATATTAGTTTGTTTATACTATACTATAAAACTCAAGTTTCCAAGTCGTGTGATTATAATTGATATGATTACGAACAATAAATTGTGTTCGAAACTGTGTCATCCAGTAAATAATAATAATACTGTTTCACTGTGTGATATATCTGATAAACAAATTAATATGAAAATGCTACCACAGTGCCCAAGTTGTACACATGTATCTTTTGAAAAGCCAATTTTCTGACATATCAAGCCATCTACAAATTAACGGGAAACGTCCACCAGTATTACTTTAAACCAGTCCAGGTTATCTTTACTAGATAGGGTTAGGTAAGAAACTTTCTCGTACACATTTTCATAGTGTGACTGAACTTCCATCTTATTTATTTTGTAATGCATGGTTTTGTATCTTAATCTACAAAATAACGCTCCCAGCTGAAGTTGCCATATATTACAGGAGGATAAATTAGTTAAATGTTTGTTTACTTCTTGAGGGAATTCCAAAATATTATTAGTATATTTAGTGATTTTGACAATTTTTTTTCTTTAGAAACCAATAACGTTTTGATCACATAATTAAAAAATTCAGTGAATTTAATTCGAAAAATTATATCCTCATTCCAGCCGTTTTCTACCCATCTAGGATGAAAGATAGCTCCTGTACCACAGAATGCTATCTTTATTTAACTACAATTTAAGAGCGATCAAATCATGCAATTGACAGCCCAGAAGCTTTGATCAACTACCAAAATGAAATTATATGCAGCATCTCCCCCGCTCCCATTTCAAACTTTCCAAAAACTCTAACCTACGCTTAAAAGACTAAATACTCTGTATGCCAAATGACAACGTATCTGCTAGTTTATTTCCAGGTGATGTGACAAAGATGTAGGTAAGCACACCGAAAATACCCACTGAGTCATCAATAGAATAAAAGAAGACTATTCAGCGAAGAAAATGCTTCTTTATCGACGAAATCATCTTCAAAGGCTGGACAGTCGTATTTATATTTACCAAAAGTGTATAGTAGTCTATTATTGAGTAATGGGGAGCTACATAATTGGCATGATTACTCAGAATTGGCTTTAGAAGTAAATGTCAAAGCTGTAAACTACGTAGTACTCAACGGCACAAAGGAAGAAAGGGTTAGAATTTCGATAAGGCTAAAATTCTTATTGAGTGAGAAGAGAGGTAGTTGAGCGTCAATTTAACAATTGTGAAGAAGGTGAGAGGATGTACAAAAGGAACATATGAGAGTGATGATAGTGAATTAATTATTAAAGTAAAAGTAAATTGAAAATTACAAATAAAATGTTTTTTACAGGGAACGACTTGTGAAGACGTTAAAACTATGGTAGAATAAGAGACTGGAGAAACTTTTCTGTCAACAGAATTCGAGGTTGTATTGACAAATTGCTGGCGCCTCCGACCCTCAAGGTACGCGATTTCCCAGTTATATAGTTTGACGAAAGTGCACAAACAGAACGTACCACTACGTCCAATCTCAAATATGACTAATTACCCATTTCATGCTACTGCCAATTAACTCGCGGAAATCCTCCTACCTATCAGAAATAATATCTGTCAGCATAGTGTTTCAGATTCATTTAAATTCGTCGATTCAATAAGTGATGTCAATGTATCCGGGAAGAAAATGACATCCATGGATGTTACCTCTCCCTCCCTTCACTAATGTTCCTCTCACTGAAACTATTCGCTTTATATGCGAATTCATTGAGGATAATAGTGTAGACATGGGTGTTCCGATCCACTACTTAGGGGAACTACTGTCGAGGTGCACTTTTAATGCCCAGTTC